TAATTTCTATAATAATAATATCATAAAGATAATCAACTTTACAAGACTTAAGAACTCTGATCAACACAATGACCAACCACAATTTCAAAGGACTTATGATGAAATATGCTATCCACCTCCAAAAAGAGAGCTAATGGAATCAAGAGTAAAGACTGAAGCATCTTTTCTTCTCTTCCTTTGTTTCTTTCTTTCCTTCTTTTGGGAGATGGCTAATACAGGAATTTGTTTTGCATGACTACACAAACTTTAATGGGTTTTTGTTTTCCTTGCCTTCTCAATGGGTGGGGGAGGGGAAGTAGGAAGGGAAAGAATTCAGAACTGATAATAAAATAAAAATTGATTTAAAGAAAAGAAGGGGATGCACATAAATTTTTTAAAAGAAAGAGACCCATGGTAACACAGCTAGTAAAAGCTAGAGTCTGGATCCAAAACTAGGCCTCCTGATTTCAAGTCCAATATTCTAAATAAATTTTTAAATGGCTGAGGATAAACTTGGGTTCCACCATCCCACAGGTTCACTACCCGACCATCCTTCGGACCATAAGAATCTATAAAAACCTGGTCAAGTACTCACATGGGAAACATCCCACTTATATTACAAGGCTCCTTCCCATATCTCTAACGTACCATTCCCCAAAACCTCCCTTCTCCAGACAATGGAATCCCTATGCTTTTACCTAGATTTCCAATGAAAGGATTGAATGAGAGAGAGGACAGCTCTCTTCAATTATTAGCTAAGCATCAGCTTTCTTCCAGCTTAGCCACTTGGGGAGACTATTGCATGGATTCTGTCTTCCAAGCAAATTCAACTACTCACCATTTTCCAATCTTGTTCTGCCTTTCCCGACTTCCACATTTCTTGAGTAAGCCACCCACTATGCTTAGAATAATCTCCCTTACATCTCTGCCTAATGAAATCTTTTCCATCTTTCAAGGCCAACTAGCTCAGGTATCACCTCTTCCATAAAGATTACATCCAAATTCCCTACCTACGTGATTTCTCCCTCCTCAAATCTCTCATACTACTATATTTATATCTCTCCTATGTACTTATCACATAATAATAATGACCATTATTATTATTCCTAACATTTACATAGTGCTTTAAGGTTTGCCAAGCATTCTACAAAAATTAACTCATTTGATCCTCACAACAAATCTGGGAGGCAGGTATTATTATTATCATCACCATTTTCCAGCTGAGAAAACTGAGAATGAGAAGCTAAATTACTCAGGGCCACAGAGCCAGTAAATGTCTGAGGCACAATTTGAATTCACTTCTTTCTGATTCTAAGTCTAGCACTTTATCCATTGTTTATATATAACACTTACGTTTGTGTATGTAGGGGTAAAGGTTGGGGAGTGGGAAGGGTGTGTATATTATACACACACATATTATGAATATATTTTAGATATATATCTAGCTACACAGATAACTACATTTATAACTGTAGACATATAATATGTAGTTATCTGTGACATCTTATCCCTCCTCAATTAGATTATCAATTCGTTGAGGGCAATGTCCATGTCATTTCATTTTTCCCTTTATATCCCCATCCCTACCATAATGCATTGCACAATAAACATTTGTTGAATTAAGTTGAGCAGAACTGACATCAAATTGCTTTTGAATATACTGTTACATTCCAATACTTATCATGCAAATATTCTTCTAAGAAAGTTAAGGCAAGAATTGTCTTTCCTATGTTAAAGATATGGAAACTGAGGCCTGCGTTAAAATAACCAGCAGCTCAAAATCACAGAGGTCTGGAACTGGACCCCAGGTCTTCTGACTCCAAGCCCAGGACAGCCTCCTCCTAAAATGGCTGATGGCCTTTCTCCTTCCCTCTTCAGCATAAAATCCCTGCAGCTGGTGGTTTCAAGGTCACCCTCATATTCTATGATTTTTCTGGGCGCTCTTCAAGAGGATCCCAACTGACCAGCAGCTCCTGCAGCAACAGAGGCTGACATAAAACAACTCGGAGCATCCCTGCTTTAATTGGAGCTGCTAGGAGAAGCCCTGCTGACCTCCCTTGGAATGTCAAAAGGGCAAGCTGCTGCACATTCTCGTCGGTCTCAAGAGCCCCACCTGGCCCCGTTACTGTTCCTTCTGTCCCCAATTACATAGGTCTCCAATAAATCTCTGTACAGTTGCGGCTGTTTTTGTCTACCTTTATTGGTTTCTGTCACTTGTATTTATATATGTCTAAAGTTGCATGTGTCTTGGTTCCTCACTGAACTCTTAAGTTCCCACAGACAGGAAAGATATCTTCCCATTCCTCAGTATCCCCTCCTCCTCCTCCTCCTCCTTGAATTGTGCCTACAAAGAGGTGCTGGACTTCATGCATATTCAAAGTACTCTGGACCAACTCTAACTCCTTCAGGCTCAAAGGCAGAGGAAGGGAAACAGAGTTGACAATTATACAGCTGGTGAAAGTAATCTGAGTTTAACAATACCCCTTTGAGGTAGATGCTATTATTATCCCCATTTTACATAGGAGGAAATTGAGATTTAGAGAAGTGAACCGACTTGACCACGGTTAAACAGCTAGGAAGTTTCTGTGGCAGGGTCTGAACACATATATCTTACTAACTCCAACTAAAGTCAAGCTCTCTATCCACTTCAACAGACTTCCTCTGAGAGGGAAGTTGTCTCTCTCTACCCCTCCTTTTAGTAACCTGGAGGCTTTATGGTCTAGAAGGTGTGATCTTGGATGGAAAAAAACCATCACATCTTTTCTTTTTTTCACTAACTTTGAGTTTCCTTTGAAATCTTATGTATTTTACGTATTTAAAAACAAGGTTCTGAGAAGGGGTCCACAGGCTTCATCAGACTGCCAAAGGAGTCCCTGATTTAAAAAAAGGTTGAGAACCCCTATTTTAGTAGATAAGAGTACACCAATCATCCTAAATGGGTTGTGAATTGGATCCTCCAGCTCAGAATACAGGGAAGAGATTCTGCAAATTCCTTCATTCTCTGCCAGGAAGTCCTTACTTATCTCTAACCCAAAGTCTTTATGCTACAGATTAAGTCCACTGTTACATTCCCCCAAGGAGAAGGAGAATAGTGATTTTGTAAGGCTGCCACAGCCTAGAAAAAGCTGCATTTCTTCTAGAGAGCTCACTCATTCTAGAAAGCCCAGTGATGAAAAAGCAGCTTATTAGATCACCCCCAGATGGGAGTATAATTCATTTCAGCTACTCCAGGCCTCAAAGACCTTATAAAAATCAAACCCTGGAATAAAAACTGCATCCATATCTTTAAAGCAAAGGAAAACCTCCTCTTCATCAATCCAACCGTCAAAAAAGGCAACTCAGATCTGGAGGGGGTTGTTTGGTCCTTCCTTAGAAAAACTGCCCTATAATTCTTTAGTGAACCAGTCCACCAGGAAGACTCACTTTCCCCTCCCACACATCACTGACGTCAGTGTCCCTGTTCTGTGGCTGGGACTTGAGAGTCAAAAACAAACAAGTAGAGCTTCAGATGCAGGGGAAATCAGGATTCACAAAAGAAGTTAGCAAATGAGATCTGATTCTAGCAGTACATTTTGTACATATGCATGTTATATAAGAATATACCCAAAATCTTACCCAGGGATGCAGGAAAAAATGAAGCCAAATGCTCCCAGTTACCACCTTACCTACCCCCAGTAGGCATTTCATCATACATCAATCTATCCTAACAAGCTAAGCTACTACTACTTTATTATCAAAAGGGTGCAGCCTGAGGGAGGGAAGGAGTAGAAAGAGAGGGAAGTCATGGAGCTTCAGCAAAGAGGACCATAGATTTGTAGTTGGTAGGGACCTTAGAGGTCATTTTACGCGTGAAAAAAAAAATGCAGCACAGAAAGGCTAAGTTAATTGCCCAATATCACACAGGTAGAAAATAAACGGCAAAGTCAGGACTTGAACCCAAGTACTCTAGTTCTAAATCTATAGCTTTTTCCACTGTATCACAATGCAGCAAATTCTGCCTGTCTTTAGATGTGTGACCTTGGGCTAGTCACTAGATAACTAAGTTCTCAGTTTCTTCATCTACAAAATAAAGGGACTGGACTAGAATATCTCTTAAGGTCCCTTATGGCCCTTATTCTACTTCTATGATTCTGTCAATCTCCTGGGGAAAAGGAAGGTGCAAAAAATAAAGGGCAAAGGTAGCAGTTACAGCCCTACGCAGGCCGGGCCCTTTAATTTCTACTTTAAAGGGGGGGTAAAAAACTCATTTATAGGAAAGGTGAGTGCTACCACCTCTACTGCTTCCTCTTTCCTCCTCTGCCCACTGCCTAGTTTTGCTGATACGCGTCTTAACCGCAGGAATGGGGAGTCTTATGAGACTGTAAAAGATCAAATTAATTTTGCCATCTCCCATATTAACCTGTTCGCCATTCCTAACAGTGGGTTAACCATAAAAAGAAATTAACATTGCTTGGAATCTAATAAACCCATTGCTTGGCTAGTAATAATCACTTGCCGAATAATCAGATCTCCAAATTATCTCATTTCAGTCAAATTCTACAAGTAACAACACAGAAGATTACTATGCAAACTGGAGCCTTTTCCTTTTTAAAGGAAAAGATAAAAGAAAAAAAATCCACCCAGAAAATTAACTCTTACTTCCACCCCACCATAGCAAAGGGCCATGCTTTGGGGGTCCCCCACCTTTATGGTAGGTGGAAGTTAAGTAAGCACCCCACACGTCCTCCTTCCCCACGCGGGACTCGTGGGGGTGTACTGCCATTGCGGGGTGCTGGCTTCCACCGCCCACTGCCACGGGCTGAAGCGAACCCCTATTTTATCCAGGTGCAGGTTCCGGCGCAACCCCAGGTCCGCAGGCAACAGGACCAGTTGCACACGGCGATTCTCTTTGCAAAGGCAAGGGAGCGGGAAGGACATCCCCGGGGTAGCTGGGATGCATTTGCCCCCAAAATGATAAACGAGCAAGGGAATGTCATCGCGGGTCGCCCCGGGGTGCGTGGAGGGCCAGCGCTGGCACTCACCTGTCCGTACACCTTCACAGGCTCGGGCTGATGGGCAGCGGCGCTGCGCTTGGTCCGCGGCGGCGCCGGCGGCAGCTCCCCTGCCGTCCGGCTCGCGCCCCCGGCGGCATCCCCTGCGCCGCCGCCGCCGCCGCTGCGCCCGGACAGCCCCGGCTGGCCCGCGCCGCCCTGCAGCACGAAGAAGCCCCGCTCCTGGGGCAGCGCAGCCCGGCCCCCGGCCGAATGCAGGCTCCGGGTCTCGGCCAGAGCCCAGGGGGGCAAGAGCGCGATGAGGGCGAAGAGGAGAGGGAGCCACGGCTCCCCGCAGCTAATCCCCGTCGCCATGTTCCGGCGCTCGCTGGCGCAGGTGGCGCCGCCGCCAGGAGAGAATGTGCAACGAACTGGAGGCCCCGCGAGCGGGCGGGCGGGAGGCGAAACGGCGGCGGCCGCCTGCTGCTCCTCCCCCGCCTGCGCGGCCGCGGCCCCGGCTCCGGCTCCGGCTCCGGCGCGGCCTCCGCGCGCTCCCGGGGCCGCTCGAAGCGGCTTTGTCACGTGTGTGACACACCGCACCATCCCCCCCTTCCCTTCATCCATCTCCTCCTCCACCCCCCCCAACCCCCAAAGAGGGAAGGATCCCCCCCTGCGCGCACGTATCTCCATTGTGTGCAAGGCTAGGGTTGGTTACGCAATTGACCCCAGCCTTAGGTAATAACGACGGGGTCCTCAGCCTTGGTGGGTCTAGGTTTTTAAATAACACCCCACCGCCATCCCCTTATATGTCAGCATTCGGGGCTGGGGAGCAAAACAAAGCATTTCCCACGTGCCCATGGTGAGTTGAATGAGTATGCAGCCTTAGCTCTCCAAGGTTTTGCTTTGCAAGTTTTAAGCCCTGCAGACTGATATATGTTGTCGAACCTCATTTCTTTTAGGTAAAGGACATATACTAGATAAACTGTGGTCCTTTTTGGCCTTTTGATGGTCTCAGCACTGAAAGTTCGTTAATGATGAATAATAGTCCGGCCTGCCCGTGACCAGTCCCACACCTCAAACAGTGCATGTGGAGGAAAGGAGACATATCAGATAAACCGTGGTCCTTCTTGGCCTGTTGATAGTCTCTTAGCATTGAAAGTTCTTTAATTATGAAAAATAATGGTCTAGCCTATCCATGCCCTATCCCATACCACAAGCACAGCACACGTGGTGCCTGCATTTAAGTTGATAACTGGAAGCATTTAGTATGGTGGTGCCTGCATGTTCACATACTGCGTAGGTGTTGAGAAAATATACCCAGCTGAAAACTGATGTGTACAAAGGCATACTCACATGAAGGAACACTATGCGTAACAAAGAGGGACAGGTACACTTGTGACTTCTTTATCTCCCGCTTGCCCCCCCTCCTCTAGACAGACTTTGTTTAGCCAGATTTATCTCAGTATCTCCGGTCAGCACACTTCAGTAAGGTATCCTTCAGCTCTGTTGCTAATGCCTCTCCTCACTCTAGTGATAAAGCCCACCTTATACCTAGACTAATAATATGTCTATAATCCTGTGAAATATTGTATTTTTGGGGGTGTGAGGAAATTGGGGTTAAGTGACTTGCCCAAGGTCACACAGGAAGTGTCAAGTGTCTGAGGCCAAATTTGAACTCCTGACTCCAGTGCTGATGTTCTATCCACTGTGCCGTTTAGCTGCTTCGATGTTGTATTTTTAGGTATTTTTATCTCCATTTCACAGATGATCACACAAGTAGTGTCAGAGGTAGGATTCAAATGCAGGTCCTCCTGACTCAAGGTCTAATGATCTTTCCATTCCAACTCATTGTTTCTCAGGAACACTGACTCTCTAAAAGGATGCATCTTGGCACAGTAGAAAGAGTAGTAGCTTTAGAATCTAAAGGCACTGAGTTCAAATCCCAGAGCTATCACATATAGTCCTGTATGACCTTGGGCAAGTCACTTGCCATCTATTTCATCATCTGGGGAAGATCTCTAAGGTTCCATCCAGGTCTGACAACTATGTAATTCTATGACTCTTTCCTCAGCCCAAGATGGTTTTTTGAGCAGAGGATAATTTAATTCAATAAACATTCATTAAGTACCTACTCACTGTGCTGGGTCACAGAGAAGATACTAAAAAGCTTAGATAAGGCCTCATTGAACTTAGAGTCTAGAAGTAAGACACCTAAACAAATAACTACCACAATGACAAATTTTATAGCAAGGTACATAACAAGGGTTATATAAATCCTAAGAAGAGAGCCAGAGAGACTTCATGGGAGGGTTATTTGACTTGGACATTGAAGAAGTAGGGGAGATAGACCATAAGTAGTCAAGTTTGGCTGATGCAATATAGTTCACTATGGGAAATAATACAAGATAATCTGGAAAAGATTAGAGCCATAATGTAGAAGACATTATGGATTAATTAAATTAATAAATTAAATTAAGACTAAATGGATAAATTGAATTCTAATTAAAGAAATTTGATAGGCAATAGGGAGCCAATGAAAATATTATAGCAGAGGAGTAATATAAGCAAAACTACACATAAAGGAAGATTAAGCTGGCAATGATGTAAATGGATTATCAAGGGGTCAGAAGAGAGATGAGATTTGTTCAGTTCTTAGAAAAGCAGAAGTAGCAACTGGGAACAAGAATAACAACAGAAAAAGCAACAATTTAGTGGAACTGATTCAGTGGCCTCCTGGGTAGTGTCAGCAAATCAAATGTAAAGTCTTATATTTGGGTTCAAAAAATCAGCTTCACTCATACATGAGGGGCAGACTATCACTTGTCTTTAAGAGACCTGGGGATTTAATGGAGTGCAAGTTCACTGTGTCAACAGTGTAACTGGGTAGTCACAAAGCTGATTTAGTCTACTTGAAAAAGAGGCATTATGTCCAGAACTAGGCAAGTGATAGGCCTCCTGTACTCTGCCCTGGTTAAACAATATCTCCAGTATCGTGTTCATATCCGGGCACCACATTTTAGAATAGACATTGACCAGCTGGAGAACATGGAGAGGAAGGTAAACAGGATAAGGAAAATCTATATGCAGATGCATTGGAAGAAAAGGGAAAGTTTAGCTCAGAAAAGAAAGAATTTGGGGGGAGGGGTAAATGAGCCATGATTATTTTCTTCAAGTGTTTGAAGGTCTGTCACTTGAAAGACTGGTTGGATTTGTTCTCTTTGGTCCTAGAAGAGAGAAATAGGAGCAACAGTGGAAATGGCAAAGAGGTAAATTTGGGCTTGACACTGGGAAAGTTTTCCTTACAAATAGAGCCATCCAAAAGCACTGATTGCAAAAGCTATTGTCTCTTTTCCCTGGAGGTCTTCAAGTAAAAACTAGATTGCCATGTTCTTGGTGTGTTACAGATGGAATTCTAGCCTAGATGACCTCTGAGAGCTTTTCCAACTCTAAGATTCTGTGCAGCAAGGGCCCTGGAACCCCTTCCCACCTCCATTCAATCCCCAGAGTCTCCTGAGAAAGTAAGAGAGATGTGGCTACAAAATAAATACCCTATTGTTTCTTCCATTCATTCATTCAACAAGTCTTTATTGAATATGTATAACTCTGTGTGTGACTGGCAAGAAATGGTGACTGAGTCATAGGGGAATGGGACTGAAGACACCAAGCCTAGTTGTGATCCAGATCACTGATTTGAATTCAAATTATTATTTGCAAGAAAGGATCAGTGGAATACAATCTGACAGTGGTATTAAAAGTTGTTGGGTTTTTGTTTTTGGTTATTTGCAGTATTGATGCTGGGAAGTATAGAAACCAAATACTTGAGTATGAATGGACACAAATCCCCAGAAGTAGATGAAGTCCCATCCAACCTCCCCTTCTGTCTTACCCCATTACCCAATTACCAGTTACCCCATTACCTCCCCATTGCCAATGCATACTTTTTCATTCAGTTGGGCAGTGGAGAACCCTTGAAGTGCTACATGCTTCAAAATGGTGGGCAGTACATCCCCTGACCTCTCAGCTTCACTAGCTGAAGAAACCATCGTTCCCACTGGGACTGTGCTATCCTGCGATTGGCGAGGTAGTATGATCAGTGAGCAGTCATGATCAGACTACAAACTGGATTATGGAATCTCTATAGATAACATCTCTGAGAGGTAAGCAAACTGTTTCCCACTTTATCCCAATTCAAAGATTAGCTTGGTGAAAGAATTAGGAATGTCTGGTGTGCTGGAATCAGCTTGGATCAGCAGGCAAAAGCCAAATGTTAAATTTTCAGTGTAGGAATTTACACCTTGGAAATTTGTGAACACCTACAAATCAGAGCTTGATTTATTGTCTTATTGATTTCTGTATTTTAAACAAGTAATGTAGAGCTCAGATTCCTCAAGAACCTAGCCAATCGCTCACAAATGTTCAGATTCCTCAAGAGTCTGGCCAGTATGGCAGATCTTGAATAAACCTTGTCTCTGGCTAAAAGAAGTCTTAGGTCGAATTCTTTCAGGCAGGATCTGAGTCTCTTGCTCTCATTATTTTGGGGTCCCAGCACCCCTAAACCTCTAGATCTCAAGATATGGTTCCCTGCTAACCGGGAAGAATTGTCCAATCCTAAGCTCTTCTCCAGCCAAGACTGGAAGCGTCAGAGCCATCAACTTCCAGATGATATATACTAACCTCTAACCGAGTCCAAGGTCTCTAGCCCACTGGACCTGGTGTCAGCTGTGTCCTGAAGTCTGACCCACTGTCTACTAGATAGCTAGGTGGTACAGTAGATAGAGCACTGGACATGGAATCAGGAGGATCTGAGTTCAAATTTAGCTTCAGATACTTACTAGCTGTATAATCATGGGCAAATCACTTAGCCTCTGTTTGTCTGAGTCTTCTCATTTGTAAAATGGGGATAATAATAGCAGCTCTCTGCCAGGGTTGTTGTGAGAATGAGATAGCATTTAATTTTTTAAAAAAAAAGAAAAAAAGGAGAGAGTGCAGTATATTGAAATAAAAACGTTTATATGATCATAAAATGTTAGGCCTGAAATGTCCTTTTCTCAATCCTAAACCTTGTTGAGCTCTCTTCAGCATTTCACATTGTAGGTCACCTTCTCTTCCTGGATACTTTCTCTTCTCTGAGTTTCCTTTGACAGTGTTCTCTCTAAGATCTCCTCCCACCTGTCTGACCACTCCTTCTCAGTCTCCTTTGCAGACTTATCGTCTGTGTAATGCCCTGGAATGCTCTTCCTTCTTATTCCTACATCCTGGAATCTCTATTTTTACCTTCAAGACTCAGCTTTTGCCCCCTATTATGGGAGGCCTTTCTTGATTCCCTCCTCATTCCCTACCCCAGCTATTAGTTCCTTCCTCTTCATGATTAACTTACGTTTGATTTGTATGTGACTTTTCTATACCTAGATGCCATATTGATATGAAAATATTCAAGGATTTGTTGATGGGTACTGCTGCCAAT